TTTGATGTAATCCTATTGATCAATTTTCTTTGATTTTTTCTATTTCTTGATTTTTATTTAAAAAGGTTTGACCAGTACCCAGGAGCCCTGGTGTTTCACCGTTCAACCACTCTGGAAAACATTATGGAAGTTGCTCAAAGAACTAAACATAGAACTACCCTATGATCCAGCAATTCCACTCCTGGGCATTTATCCAATAGAGAACAAACAAAGTTACAGCAAAGCCATCAGCACAACCATGCTCAATGCAGCACTATTCACCATAGCCAAAATATGGAATTAGTCCAGATGCCCCTCAATGGATGAATGGATCAAAAAAATTGGGTATATATGCACAGTAGAGTTTTACTCATCTATTAGAAAGAATGATATTGTACTACTCACAAGAAAATGGAAAGTCTTGAAAAACTATATTAAGTGAAGTAAGCTAGACCCAGAGAAACAAAGGTTGCATGATTTTCCTCATTTGTGGTAGCTAGAATATGCTTATAAATCTATAAGTAAACTTGTTGGGCCATATGCAAGTGGTTACAAATGAATTAATTGAAGTATAATAGACTCTACAGAGAGCTCAAATAGTATGATCTTTTAGAAAGATTGGGTCAAAGCCAACAAAATCAACACCAGGACATAGGTACATACAAGAGGGGAGGAAGGGCCAAGAGGGAAAGGGAAGAGGAATGAAGGGGAGAAGGAGGAGCAAATGCAGTTAATTCATTGTATATACCACAAAACTAAGAAAAGTAAAGGAGGGGATGGGTTGAAGAGGAGTAAGAATGTTAAAGGTGTGATAGTGACCAAAATGCATTGTATTCATAAACTGCCTTGTTACATGGCATCTCCTTTGTACAACTACTTAAAGATAGTTTTAACAATAAAAAGATGCATTGTACTAAAAAACTGACATGTTGAAAACCCCTTTGTTTAACTATTTTAAAACAATAAAAATAATAATAAAACTTTTTAAAAAGTTATACTTAACCCAGAGAAGGATTCCAAAAGTATAAGTCCTATGAACAAGCTGAAATATTTTTTTGTCTGGGTGAGGGAGAGGATTAAGGGGAGGAGCAGGCAGATAATTAGAGAAAGGAAAGGTGTAGAAATACAGTCATTGTATTCAATGTACATATGTGAAAATGGAACCACATACTTGAGGGTATGGATGGGTTGAGACAGATGAGGGGAAAAGATGGAAGGGGTGACATTGATCAAGATGCATTCTACTCAAGACACTGACATGTTTAATGTAAACCCCTTGGTACAACTACTTTTAAAAAAAATAAGCAAATAAAAAAACACATAAAAACCCAAGTTTACCAGAAGACAAGTGAAACAGTGACTATGAATATGGAGAAAATGAGACCAAAATCCAGTAATTCTATATCTAGCAAAGATATCAAAATTTAGGATTTAGAGTTGCCTTGTTGCCCATCTGAGGAATTGCCTAAGAATTCTAACCAAATGAAAGTCAATTAGAATGTAGAGTTTGTGATATTCAATGAAAAATAAGGTGGTGCAGAGAACGGTGATGGTAACATGTAAAAAATATATGTAGAGGATGTGCCTGGAGTTTCTACCATACCTCAAGTTTCTCTTTGCACACAATACAATCCCCAATAGAACAAAATTCTGAATTTCCTTTTTATTAAAAAGTGTGTCCATATTCAAGACAAAAAGAAAAAAATCAAAATTAGTACTGGAGCTTGAACTGTGGACTTTGCACTCTCCCTCAGCCTTCTTGCTCACAGCTGGTACTCTACCACTTAAACGATGCCCTTGACCAAGTGTTTTGTTTTGTTTTTACTGGACAGTTGGAGATAGTCTCATAGACTTTTCTGCTGGGGCTGACTTTGAACCATAATCTTCCATGTCTGAGTCTTCTGATAGCTAGGATTACAGGTGGAAATCACTGGCCCCTAGAAAATGTTATTTTCTTAGTATAGAAGGATGAGAAGAGTGGGGAACTAAAAGGCATTTGAAACTGAGACTGTATAGTTTTCATATATTGATGGACTAATTCAAATTTTGTGATGGTCATGTGTGATAGATATAAAGATAATGTTTTAAAAACTAATAGTAGGGAAAAATTAAAATAACTGCCATAGTATCAAGCATTATCAAGCATATGTTGAAATATATTCATCGGGATACAATACAGGTGCCTGCACACCAGGTTCACTGCAGCATTATTCACAATAGTCAGGTGCTGGAAAAGCACAGCTACCCTTCAGTTAATTAATGGATCAAGAGATATGGTATATGTATACAATGGAGTCATATTCAGGCATAAAGAATGGAACTATGCCATTTGTAAAAATGGATGGAACCAGGGATCATCATGTTAAATGAAGCATCTTGAGAAGACAAAGTTCACATTTCCTGTCTCATGTCAAATCTAGGCCTAAAAAATAATAGATGGATACACACACATGTACATACATATGTATAAAAACATGACTAATCCTGGGACTGTCTGGGGAGACAAGGAAAAAGAGACAAGGGAAAAAGAATGAGGGATAAACAGTACCAAAATACATTACATCCATGTGTGAAGATGGCACCAGTTAACCCCCTGACAGCTACTGAAAAATAAGGAGGTAGGAGAACAGGAAGAAGAAAGTGTCCCCTGTTTGATCAGATTGCTTGAGTAACCCTTCCTTCTGGGGGAGGATTAATCTGATCAATGCACAATTTATGTATGCATGAAATGCCACTGTGAAACCCCTTTGTGCAATTGAGAAACACTACTTTTTGAAAGTAGTGATGAAAATGTGAACTGCAGTTAAGAGTAACAGCAATATTGGTTTCTATGTCTTTTGACAATGGAAATGAAGGATGATAGCCTACAACTGAATGAAAGCCACACTGTCACTCTGTGTTACCTGTGCAATGGTTCTAAAACATAAAACTCTTCTAAAGGTAATGATTTACTTTGTAAAGTATGCTGCCTCAGGTGATAATCACTAGTGCTCTCTGAGTTTCATTATGTCCATTCAAACTATGATTCAATGTGATTTTTATCCCAAGTTGAATTCATTGCAAGTTGTTCATATTGTATTTGCTTAGAGCTTGGAATAAAATAAGCCCCTGCGTTCATCACTGGAACATTCAATAGTCCCAGTCTTGCTGGGCACCTGGACACTGAGCTACTCAGAAGGCTGAGATAAGAGGATTGTGATTTGAAACCAGCCAGGTTACAAAAATCCATGGGACTCCTGTGTTCAATTAACCACCAAAATACCAGAAGTAGGGACTCCTGTGTTCAATTAACCACCAAAATACCAGAAGTAGAACTGTGGCTCAATTGTTAGAGTGCCAATCTTATGCAAAAAAATAGTAAAGGACAGGGACCAGGCCCTGAGTCTAAGCCCAAGTACTAAACAAAACAAAACAAAAAATTTCTTTCTTGCCAAAAAGAAAAAATAGTTTGTTGTAAACTCTTTTCTGGAATTGTGCAAATGCATTCTATATTATTAGATGATTATATATCATTAATGCTTTATGATCATTTTACCCACCCAACCAATGAAGACCAGGGTTGGGACTTGGTTGCTAATAAGCTGAGGTAATGTCATGAACATCCCCCTCTCTCTAAATGTCATTTATTTGCTGAATATGTTTATTTCAATTACAAAGGCTAGCAAATAGTAATTATAACAGTGGCATAGAAAACATTAAAGCAAGTGTGCAAATCATCACAATCACTGTGGGGTGACTAAATCCTTTTGCTAAAAGATCAAAGTTATCATATTCATTTAAAACCCAAGCAAAACGCATGCACTGAATAAAAGTTACAAAAAAAGATTGAAGTTAAGCAGTGAGGCTGTGGGGGGGAGGGGGGGCAATAAGAATGTGCGGGGCAAATGCTAAAAGAAAAACCAAGTTGACAATGAGAGCATTAATGGGAAATAAAATGCAACTCAGAAAAAACATTAGCTAACTCAAAGAATAACATGTTATAGGGAAAATGTCAATCAACTCTGTATGAGAAATAAACCTTAAGATATATATGTATATATATATATATATATATATATATATACATAAGATGTACATGTATACATGTATGTATATACATGTATATACATATATAATATATGTATATATAATATGTATATGTATATATAATATATAATATGTATATATAATAAATAATATATACATATGGACACATATGTATACATATATGTATATATACATGTGATATATATGTATATATATGTATATGTATCTTATATATATATCACAAAGGAGAAATTAAAATCACATTTATGCTGGCCAACATTGGCTCATGTCTGCAATCCTAGCTACTCAGGACGCTGAAGAAGGAGAGTTGCAGTTCAAAGTGAGTTTACGCACAAAAGTCTGTGAGACTCTAATCTCCAATTAACTAGCAAAAAAGCCAAAAGTAGAGATGTGGCTCAAGTGGTAGAGTGTCAGCCAGCCTTGGGTGAGGAAGCCAAATGAAAACACAGGGTTCTGAGTTCAAGCTTCAGTGCCAGCACCAAATAAATTTATTGCAAGAGATTTAACATTTTTCTTTCAAAATTAGACAGTTCAAATATATAATTACAGAAAGATATGAAGGATCTGAAAAGTACAATAAGCAGTTTTCCTCTAATATCCATGTGAATACACCAGTTTATGATATATTTAATATCATTAAAGGTAACTTTGATTCATTTTGCAATGTGAATTTTTTTAACTTCACTCAAAAAAACATAAATCAACAATGAAAACATTTTTCATATTCTAATCACTGGGAAAATAAGAATTCACTCATAGAAGTTCCTGTTTAAAGAGGAAATGAAAATTGAAACCACAAGCTGAGTATACAAAAAGAAAAAAGATAAGATATTATATGAAAACTTCTCACATACGGCTAAAGTTATATGGAGAGGACAATTTGTAGCCTTAAAGAATGTTATCTTGTATGAAAAACTAAAGCAAAATAAAATCTGAAGTAATTTGTGCCTTTTTTTTCCTTATTGGGAACACGACTAGATAGATTCTGGAGCTTCCATGGATGCGCTGATAATCTTCCTGTGGTTTCCATGATTTTTCTTACCAGGGTGACAGTACGAATGAATAAAGCGTTCAAGAATTCGTCTATCTGAGAAGCATAAGGAGAAAAAAGGATGAATACTCTATGTTGAATATTAAATGCTAAATAGGGAAAAAATCTATGGAGGAGGTAAACATCTAACAAGAGTATTTATTTTCCCAGGAAAAAAAAGAGTATTTATTTTCACAATGGGTAAGAAGTCAAATGAATCCATGAATACTATGTCTGAGTATAATTCTTAAGATGAGTAACCTTAATATTCAAGGGATCAGCAGGGAAAGAACATGGGTTGCTTTTAGCACCAAAGAAACCAAAGTTTCTGTTAAAAATATTTAACCTGCCAGGCACTGGTGGCTCACGCCTGAAATCCTAGTACTCAGGAGGCTGAGATCTGAGGATCGAGGTTCAACGCCAGCCCAGGCAGGAAAGTCCATGAAACTCTTATCTCCAATTAACCACCAGAAAACTGGAAGTGACGCTGTGGCTCAAGGGGTAGAGCACTAGTTTTGAGCTGAAGAGCTGAGATTCAGTGCCCAGGCCCAGAGTTCAAGACCACAACAGACAATATATATATATGTAAACTCTGCTCTTCCTCATTTGTCCATCTTTGAATAGAGGCCATTGTACTTACCTTCCACTATCTTGGAATGGATTAGGTATGAAGCACTGAGATTTGCCCAGCCTACTAAAGGCATTTTAATACACCATAGCCTCTTTATCCTTTATTCCTAGGTGATAGGCAGGTGCTATACCGTCAAGCTATGCCTCCACCCCTTACTTGTACTGGTTATTTTGAGATAGGGCCTTGCTTTCTTCCTGGGTCCATTCCTGGACTCTTACACTCCTATTATACACTTCCTTCCATAGCTGGGATAGCAGACACACAAAATAGTTCAATACTTGGTGGTGGTGGTCGTCGTCGTGGGGCTTGAACTCTGGGCTTGGGCACTGTCCCTGCTCTCTTCAGCTCAAGGCGAGTGCTCTACCACTTCAGCCACAGAGCTACTTCCGGTTTTCTGGTGGTTAGTTGGAGATAAGAGTCTCACAGACTTTCCTGCCTGGGCTGGCTTTGAACTGCGATTCTCAACTCTCAGCCTCCTGAGTAGCTAGGATTACAGGCGTGAGCCACCAGTGTCTAGCTCAATATTATTTTTTGCCTTAAACTATGATTGCCCAGCCTCAGTCTCCCATAGCAGGTATGTATTATCATACATAGCTATTGGAGAGAGAGAGAGCAGTTATTTATATTTGTGTGTGTGTATCTCCCAGTACACACACACACACACACACACACACACACACACACACGCACACACACCCTGTTTTACTGGGGTTTGATCTCAGGTCTAGAACTTGCTAGATGAGTGTTCTCTTACTTGATCCATGCCCCAGTTTTTTTGTTTTTCAGTTAATCAGATAAAGTTTTGTGCTATTGTCTAGACTAGCCTGGAACCACAATCTTCTGCTCTTTGCTTCTAGACTAGCTGGGGATATGGTTGTGAATCTCATGCTTTGGGAGACTTCAATGATTTTTCTTTCTTTTTTTGTGGCCCTGGAGCTTGAAATCAGCTTTATGCTTGCAGTTTGAGCCATGAGGCAACCTTTGGGGTTCTAATTACTTTTGAGATAGGATCTCTTTTATATTTGCCCAGATTAGCCTAGAATGCAATCCCCTATTTATGTTTCCTGAGTAGCTAGGATGACAGGAACACACTACTGCACTGGTTGGATGGCTCTTATAACAGTTTCATCCAGGCTGGCCTTGAACCATACTACTACTGATCTCTACCCCTCAAGTAGGTAGGATTATGGTTGTGAGCTAAAAGCACCCAGCCAACCCCAGTATGTTTTTTATTGTAAAAGTACTGCAGCGAGGTGTTACGAATACATGAGTAAGTAAATGATTACGTTTCCTATTGAGCATTGTTATCTTTCCTTTGTTTTTCCCCTACACATCCCTTCCCTTCCCAGCTCCCCAACCCCTCCCCCTCCCCCAGCAAGTTGTAAAGTTCGTTTTCAACATAGTGTCTTGTACATCTCATTGTTACAATGGTCAACCTGTATCCTTATTGCAGCATTTTGTTATTTCCCTTCCCCTTCCCAAATGAGAAAAATGTATAAACAACATGTAGGTCACTGACATCAAATACAGTGAAAACAGGCAACCCCAGTATTTTTTAGACTGAGATGTAATTGGGGGAAAAAAAATAAAGTGCTCCGATATTACATGTAGATTTTGATCAATTAACACTTGGTACATGGAGAGGCCACACCCACGCAAAACAATCATTCTCATTAGCTCAGAAGACCCTTCTGGGTACCCTCTAGTTAGTGCTTTCTATCCGCCAAGACAGCTACTCCACAGCTAAGCTTTACCCCTTCGCAGACCTTTAGAGAAATGAAATCTTACAGAAGCCATTCTCTGTTTTGCACAAGGTTGATGTTCTACTACTGAGCCACAACTCCACTTCTGGCTTTTTGCTAGTTAATTAGAAAAAAGAGTCTCACAGACTTTTCTTCCCAGGCTGGCTTAAAACTGGGATCCTCACATCTCAGTCTCCTGAGTAGTTTAGGAGGAATCACCAGCTCCTGACAGATGTTATAGCTATTTGTGTCTACCATCTCCCATAATGTTTTAAAAAGTCATTCATTTTGCTTCATAGATCAGTAAATTATTTCTTTTATTGCCATGATTTTAGTATATCACAGTTTATTTATCTGTTTTCCTGTGGGTGGAGACTTGCCTATATCCTAGTTTGAGGATGTTCAAAATAAAATGGTTATAAGCCTTCTTGTACAGTCCTTTTGTGGATATATGCTTTCTCTTTTTTCAGAGAAATGTGCAGAAGTAGAATTTCCAAGTCTTGGAGGCAGGGCAGAAAAATGAGATTATAGGGAAATTAAATATTTTTTAACAAATATTAAAAGGGACAGACCCAGAAACCAGGAGATAAACTGAGGAAGGCAGTTAAGCTTCTTTCCCACTATACCTACTTCTAGATGCTAAATTAGAAACAATAGGAAACCTAAGAGTGACTATTTAAATCTGCCTTCTCCTTTGAAATGAAGGCTAAGGATCCAGTTTTGAGTCTAGCATAGGCAGACTTGAACCAACTAACTGGCATAAAACTGGAAGTGGAGACATGGTTCAAATGGTAGAATACTGCCTTAATCAAAAAGGATAAGCAGAGGACAAGGCCCTGAGTTCTAGTCAGAGGAACAGGAGGAGAGGAAGAAAAGAAGAAGAAGGAGGAGGAGGAAGAGGAAAGAAAGAAAGAAGGAAAGAAAGAAAGAAAGAAAGAAAGAAAGAAAGAAAGAAAGAAAGAAAGAAAGAAAGAAAGAAAGAAAGAAAGAAAGAAAGAAAAAGACAAGCCATTATTTTGAGTATTTAACTCCCATTTCCTATGTGGGAAACAAGAAATGTTTCTCTCTTATATTCTGTTTCTCCTCACTTTAACTCTGCTACACTAAATTAAATCCTTGCTAAAATTTTCACCCTGTGAGAGTCTCCCTTCTTTGAGACACCTTGAAACTCTTTTCACATGTGGAACTCAAGAACCTGTGATTTTGTGTGAAAACTCGGAAGCTGAGGGAAGCTTCTCATCCATCCTCTGGTAACAACAAGAAGAGAGTCAGAGCAGACAAATCTCACAGAAAACCAGATTTCAGATAAATTTATCATTTGAGTGGGAAGAAAGTGGGTAGATGACACAAAGGATAACAGATGCTCAGAAAGTATGCTTTCGGATGGTCTGAATCAGACTCAGTTTAAAACAATGTTGGAAATAGATGGGCCACTGAAGACATCTGGTCAACCTTCGCATGGATTAAGAGGCCCAATTCAGGGTGAACAGCCTTTTCTGTTTCATTCAAAAATATTTCTTTTTGCGTTTTGGAGCATGTGAATACATATAATGATATATTTGGGAATGAGATCCAAACCTCATCTATGTTTCTTACACACTTTGTACATATAACCTGGAGGCAATTTTTTTGGCACCTGGGTTTTAATTCAGCAATAAGGTTGGGTGTGGAATAAGATTTGGGGGGCTAAGCATGCTCAGCTTGCACAAAATAATGCTAACAAGAGAGTCACTGGGAATGGAAGTTTCACCTTCAGCTGCTATCTGCTCATTCCTGCTTCTCCAGTTTCTCTCTCTCCCTTCCTTCTTCCTCCACTTCTCTCCCTTTCTCTCTCAGTCTATCATTCTCTCCCTCCTTCCTTCTGCTTCCTTGCTCCTTCCTCTCTCCCTCTACATCACTTCTGTGTGTGTGTGTGTGTGTGTGTGTGTTTGTAAGTCTCTCCTTCCCTCTCTCCCTCTTTTCTTTGTATCTGTGTCTGTCTCCTTTGTCTCCCTCAGCCCCATGCTCTGGGATCCTATACCACCATGGCCTACTACCTGCACAGGATAATACAGTCATATAATTTCAGCTGAGCCGATAATGGTTCAACCTAAGACATCTGCCAGAGTTTTATTCTCTGCCCACCAGCTCAGCCCCATGGTGAAAGCACTGCTGAGATGCTCACAGCTAAAAAGCATTCATGTCATCGCTGATGCTGGAAATGACAAGAGGCTTGGGGTGGAAGTACTCCATGTGAACCTCCCACTTGCTTGTCAACCTCTCACACAATCGGCTTTGGTGAATGAGCTGTTCTGAAGCAGAGCTGCCAAAGCAGTTGGAAGCCACAGGAAGCAGCTCCTGTATGAGCCCAAGGCAGCACAGAAGAGCAAAAGCTTTAGGCCTCTGCCTATGGGTACCTGCCACTAGTGCTACCCTTACAGAGCCAGAAGCAGGAGAGTGAAGGAAAAACAAAACCCTAACTGGTCCTAAAGTGATCCTGCTAGCAACCAGTCATTTCTCACCCATCTAAGAAAGAAAACCTGGCAGGGTGGATAGATTGTGTTCATCTGAAAGATCAGCTTGCCCTGGTCTCTTGAAGAATGTGGATGCCAAGTTGAACAGAAGCCACAAGGGTCACTCTAAGGAAACCCTGGTGTGAGAAAACCCACTCACCTGTCCAAACTTAAAGGATGGACTCAGAGACAAGAAGTACAACAGAAGTGGTGGTCTTTCAAGACCACATGTCAGGTGGGCAGGTACACTCTAGTCTATTACAACAAGCAACTTATCCCTAGTGTGCAAGGTTCCTCCACCAATTTCTCATTGGCTGACTATTATGGGGTTTACATTCTCTCCCGGAAGTCACCTAAGTTGCACTACTTTCTTAGGTAATTCATCTATCTCCAACAACACAACCCTCCCTTCCCAACCTCTCACACACTCACACACTCGTCTGTGGCAGGAAGGTTTTTCTGGGTATGTGCTTTCTGGTATATGCACAGAGTTCCTACCCATTTTCTCATTTTATTGAGGTACATTCTTCCTCTTGTTAATCAGCCCCTTCTAACCAGTCTTGTTTGTCTATGGACTTCCAGTGAATAAACTCTGTCATGTCTGTAAGCTTATCCAAGCAAACTACTAGTAATTTTCCACTCAGGGGTCAAATATCTTATCTTGAAAATGAACCACTTCTGACTTTCACCTTAGAGGTTTGCACTTGACACATGGAGGGAAGAATGTGCTGGCAATCACAATGGTTCCCCATAGGCAGAAATGGGGACTATGTACAGTGTGGCCAGTCCCTAGGCAGATGGCAGTCTGTGCTTAGGGAAGACAGAATTGATTTGTGGGTCCAACACATGTGGCTGCTAGAGACAGAAGGAAGATTTTGCAAAATGCAGAGGATGGTTTTACGTATCTGCACCAAAGCTGGGAAAGGGCAGAAAGACAGCCTGGGCTTTCTGTTGACCTTCCACTCTGTCTTTTGGGAGAATGAGACAAGCAGACCTCCAGAAGACTTAGTTTCTTTCAGAAGTGAAGAACTGGCCCAGAGACATCTGTTGAGAGGGATGAGGCTCCCAACAGGAAATAAATACTTCTGCCTCCGAATGAAGCCAAACACCTGCTTCCTGGACTTCCCTGAAGCCCAACATATTCAAATACTTCTAAGGATGGAAAGCAGATCCTTAAACACACACACACACACACACACACACACACACACACACACACACACACACACACCCTCCCTTCTAGTCTTATCTACACTAAGGCTTTAGCTTTGCTTAGAGCTGGAGCTCCTAGGATAAAAAGGATTTCCATGAATACTTCAGAGGAACCAGATCTCTCTCACTGGCAAAGGGACAGACACAGAGCAGTAACTGGGGACTGGAGAAGGTCAGGTGGGAGATAATGTCAGCTGGAGAGCTGCTGAAAGTGGGAGGAAGTCCAGTACTAAAGCCTGTTCATGGGCACAAAGGAGTTGCGGACTCCACATTGACCTGAGCATAAAGTAGACTGCCAGAGATATGTTGGACCCAGAAAAACAATTAGAATCTTCTAGGAAATGGACTCATTACCTTGCTCATATAACTGTAACCCCTCTGTACAGTATCTTTACAATAATATATATGTGTGTGTGTGTGTATATATATATATATATTAGAATCTTCACAAATTTGTTTCTATTTCCTATTTTAAGGTTACAGGGCTTCTAATGGACATACTTTATACACTGGGGTGCGTGCTCAAACATGAGGAATGAGGGGACGTGTGATCTCCCCACGACCCTTACTCCAAAGTGGCCGGCAGCTAGAAGAATTTTTCTTCCTCTCCTCAACATCCTTTGCACCCTTGGTTGACATTTTATGCACTCTTCATTAGACTGATCCCTGAGCTGCTCCCAAATCCATCCCTGGCACTCAGCTCCAAAATGGGATAAGTCTTTGCTGTATAAATAAATCAGCGCCATTCTGAGAACGGCATCTGCTCTCATTTTGGATGTGGACTACAGAGATTCTCATGGACTTTAAATCTTGTTCCAAAGAAGTGCCACCAAACAGGAAACAAAGTCAACAGAATTCAAAACAAAACACCTGAGCTAGTATAAACAGCCACTGGAGAAACCAGTTAGCTGTAAGCAAAAGAGAAGTCATCCTAGAACAAGTACGCTGCAGGTAAAATGATATCAGAAACGCTCTATGTCTCCTTTTTAATAAGTGGGAATAAAATCTCCAGGGCCTCTTTAAAGAAATTTGTTTCTCAATGGATTGAGGTTTACACAAGATTGTGGAATTTTCTTTTAAGAAAATGTTTCTCTTTTGTGTGTAGATTTCACCTCCAGTTAAAATGTTAGCTATGAGAACCATTTCTCCTTTCATAAAGCAATGTTTTATGATAAAGCATGGAATGGCAATTCAAGACCCCGTCTTACCTTTTTCGGAAACACTCTGCAGGTACTCACTGACTTGAGAGGGAGAAAAGGAGTTTAACATCATCAAGAAGTCCAGGTAGGCTTTCCCATAGTCACGCTGGTAGGATGTCTGCTTCTTTATGCGTTGTTCATTATTAAGGTAGCTGTGCAGCATGGTAGGGACTGGAAGACACAGAGAGAGTCCAATGATTGAGGAAAAAAAGAAAAGCTGTCCTCATCCCCAAGCCTGGTTTGGAGTTGACTCTGAATTTGCAATAATGAGATGCTACCTTTACCATCCCTGTATAGTGACAGGTGCTATGGTAGGCTTCTGGGAGCTGCTGACTATCTCTATTGGGGCTGCAGGGTTGGAATGCACTGTTCAGAGGTTGAATATCATCTGGTCTCAGGAAAGAAATCCTCCCTAAGTCTACACTTACACAGGTCAATGTGTTAAAATGGTAACATTCATTCATCACCTCTCAATAAACAACAGCCATTGGGGAATTCCTCCATTGTCATTCCTACAACTTGCCTAATATCTTTGTGAACCTAGAGAACACCTTAAATATGGTCTCTAGTTTCAGATGTCTTATGATGGCTACTTTTGCTGTTTTTTGTTTATCTGTTTGGTTTGTTGGGTTTTGTGCCAGTCTTGGGGCTTGGACTCAGGGCCTTGCTCAAAGCTAGTGATCTACCACTTGAGTTACAGCTCCGTTTCCAGATCTTTGGTGGGTAATTGGAGAGAAGAGTCCACAAACTTTCCTGCCCAGGCTGGCTTCGAACCTAGATCCTCAGATCTCAGTCTCCTGAGTAGCTAGGATTACAGGCATGAGCCACCATTGCCCAGCTGTGTGAGGCTAATCTTGACTGTCAATTTGAATGGATTGAGAAGCATCTAGGAAATTAGTAAAGCCACATCACTGGATGGGTTTGTCGAGGGCATTTCCAGAGAGGATTGAGTAAAGGGATGGGATAGCCATACTGAATGTGGGTATATGAGTGGCTGTTCCATCCAGGACTCCAGCCTATGGAAAGAGAAAAGAGAAAGAGCCCCCAGCACAGATATTCTCTCTCTCTCTCTCTCCTCTCTCTCTCTCTCTCTCTCTCTGTCTCTCTCTCTCTGTCTCTGTCTCTCTCTCTGCCATATTCTCTCTACTTTGATGGATTGAAACTTCTGAAACCTTGAGCCAGAATAAATCCTTCCTCATTTACCTTCAAGTTGTTTTCTTTATGGGCACTTGTCACAATGACAAAAATAAACAAACATACAAACAAACAATGGCCCTCTTTAAAAGGGCCACTGGCCAAATGGAAGAACCAGACTACAGAGGAGCTTTGTTGTTTTATCCTGAAAAAAGTATCAGTAGTGTCTAGCATGGTTTAACTTTAAAAAAGAGAATGCTTAAAAGGCATTAGAGGGGCTGGGAAGGTGGCTCAGTGGTAGAGCGCTTGCCTTGCATGCATGAGACCCTGGTTCAATTCCTAAGCAACACATAAGCAAAAAGAAAAAAGCCGGAAGTGGCACTGTGGCTCAAGTGGTAGAGTGCTAGCCTTGAGCTGAAGAGCTGAGGGACAGTGCCCAGGCCCAGAGTTCAGGCCCCACCATCCGACCCCCCCCCCAAAAAAAAGGCATTAGATAGTCACCACAGAATAGCCAGGCACTGATAACTCAGGCTTATAATCCTAACTACTCAAGAGGCTGACTTGTGAGGATCACAGCTCAAGGCCAGCCCAGACTGACAAATCTGTGGGACTCTTCTCTCCAATTGACAAGCACAAAGCTAGAAGTAGCAATATGGCTCAAGTGGTAGATTATTAACCTTGAATGAAAAAGCCAAGCAGGAAAACAAGGCCCTGAATTTGAGTCCCAATATTGGCACACACGCATGTACACGCATGCACACACACACGCGCGAAGACACACACACACACACACACACACACACACACACACACACACACACACACACATGGCTATATGGAGAATCTTGGAGCAAAGAGACACTAAAATTGAGTCATTAGCCAGCAACTGCCCTGTTTCATAAACAACAACAAACACTATGTACATTTTTTTCCCCAAGGACCCAAGACTCAGAGGAGTGAATGGAAAATAAAAACTGGAGCGTCTCAGTCAAAAGTCAGAAAGTTGCCAACAGTTACAGTGCAAACCCAGTAACAGACTGGAAATTGCTCAGTCTCTACATACCTGCCCACAAGACACACCATTTCAGTTCCTTTGCTATAAGCCATTGGGAGAGACAGATATGAGCTGTGTCCTGATCCCCTTCTAGGTTGACTACAACAAAACTTCCTTTTTGAAAGTTGGAGCCACACTATTGGCTTCTGGGTATATGGGGTGACATGTCCTGGCCCATATCAACAGGACTTACGATGTTGTTTTAATTACTGGAAGTGTGCTTACCTAGACCCTGAGAAGCAATCCGCAGGCGCGAGTAACATCCATACTGGAAACTAAAATCCTGCAGCTCTGGAATTTTAGCTGGAGTTTGGTAACTCCTTCGAAACTCAGTATCTAGAGGTCGGGGAAGGTGCTTTTTCCAATCCAGAATCACTGGGCGACTTTCCTTCATGCTCTGAGCTGGGGTGGAGGGAGAAAGGAAAGGCAATGATTTCTTCTGGTCAGCTATTCTTGAGTAGCTTTTCATTTCATTTTGCTTCTGACAGTTAACTTCCAATTTATCAATGTAAGCCCTTCTTATGTTTAGAGTCACAGTATAGCTTTAGGAAGGTCATCTAGAAACAATCTACCTTCTAATGCATTGAAAGTATAAGCTCAGATGATCATAAGTAGTTTCTTTTTTCTTTTTCTTTCTTTCTTTCTTTTCTTTCTTTCTTTCCTTTCTTTCTTTCTTTCTTTCTTTCTTTCTTTCTTTCTTTCTTTCTTTCTTTCTTTTCTTTCTTTCTTTCTTTCTTTCTTTCTTTCTTTCTTTCTTTCTTTCTTTCTTTCTTTCTTTCTTTCTTTCTTTCTGTTTGTTTGTTGTGTCAGTCATGGTGCCTGAACTCTGAGCCTGGGCCCTGTCCCTCAAGCTCTTCAGCTCAAGGCTAGTGCTCTACCACTTGAGCCACAGCGCCACTTCCGGCTTTCTTTTTCTGCTTATGTGGTGCTGAGGAATTGAACCCAGGGCCTCATGCATGCAAGGCAAGCGCTCTACCACTGAGCCTCCTTCCCAGACCTGGTTTCTTCTTTCTTTTGTTGGCACCTGGACTTGAACTCAGGGCTTCCCAGCTGCTTGCTTGCTGAGCTTGCTTGCTCATCTGGTGCTCTACCACTTGAGCCACATCTCCTGCCTTGTTTTGTGTGTGTTTTTTTGGAGATGGAGTCTCATAGAGTTTTCTGCCTGGGCGGCTTCAAACCTCAATCCTCTGAATCTCAGCCTTCCAAGTAGCTAGGATTACAGGTGTGAGCCACTAGCACCCAGCTGCTTATCAGTAATTTCTAGTGAATATTAGAATTTCTGCTCAGTGGGCACAGAAAGCATCCATAGCTCTGCTAGGTTTGCCTCATTATTGCACTGGGGTTATGGTGTGTGTGTGTGTGTGAGAGAGAGAGAGAGAGAGAGAGGGAGAGAGAGAGAGAGAGAGAGATTGGCTAAGTTCATCTTCTAAAGCACAGGGGGCCCACTTAAATTTGAACTTCGGATAAAAACTAAATACTTTTTCAGTTTAAGTACTCTTATCTCCTTTAAATAGTTTTACTCAAATTCAACTGGAGAGGCTATTTCATTTGCTTAACCCGGCAGCCCTAGAGAGGTATATATCATTTCATTATGTAGAAAAGAACTATTCAAAGCCTATCCCTTACTGCTGGAAGGTTATATGATTATTTCCTTGAAATAGCTCTATAAGAGGTAGGCATGGTGCCACACACCTGTAAATCCCAGCTACTAAAGAGGCATAGGTAAGAAGATTGAATTTTGAGACCAGTTTAGTCAAAAGCAGGAGATTCTGTCTCAAAATCTAAAAATCAAAAAGACTAGGGCGTGGCTCATGTGGTAGAATGTTTGCTTAGTGAGTGCAAGGTCCTGAGCTCAATCCCAATACTGCCATATATGTGTGTCAGTGCATATATGTATTTGATGATAAGTAACAAATATAAATGTATCATCATTAAATACTGATTAAACTCCAGTCTACAAATACTACCAGATTACAGAGGAGAAGGTCACAAGTAATCTCACTTAAAATGCACATGTCCCTAATTCTTGCCACAAAGCCTCAATTTGGAGGCATATTACACAACAGCATCTTTACTCAGAAGGATAAAGAGGTTAGGAAATGGGTTTCAGGAGCAACATCTAAGCAGTGCAAATTGCTATTGACAATTTATTTTTATTTTTATTTTATTTTTTGTCGTGGGGCTTGAACTCTTGGCTTGGGCGCTATCCCTCAGCTCTTTAGTTTAAGGCAAGTGCTCTACCGCTTGAGCTACAGCGCCACTTCCTTGACACTTAATTTGATTATCTTCCAAATTAGGTGTTCAATAGTTCTTTTGAAGATAATTTCTAATACACATTGTATACCAAATGTGTTGTAATGGCATTTGCTGGTTTGCATTGTATATGAAAGAACTCCCTATCCTAGTACCAGAGTGCAGTTTAATATTGATTTTCTTTTTTCAATAAATAAATAAATAAAGTCAGGTGCTGTCTTTACAGGCCTGTAATTCTAGGTACTCAGAGGCAGGGATCTAAAGAATTGTGGTCAAAGCCTGAGCAGAAAAATCCAAAATGTTCCATCTCTAAATAACCAGCAAAAAGGTAGGCTGGAAGTGTGACACAGTGTTAAAAGTATTAACCAAGCAAGCCAAATGAGTACAGATCCTTAAGATCGAGCCCCGGTTTAAAAAAAAAAAAAAACACCACAACACCAATAAATCTTTGTAAATCAGCAGGAAGAATTTCACATAATACCTCTTATTTTGGGAGACCAGAGAGAAGATTCACACGCAAATGAAGATACTTAGGAAAAACATCCACTAGAACTAGAACTCCCTAGTAACTCCTTATTTTGGCTTTCTGATAGCTTTAAGGAGGCAGGAAAATTTCTGATGAAATGCTTGACTCATCTCTCTCTGCCCTGGAACAACCATTCAACAGCAAATGTTCCATTCCCTAAATGTCATCTGTGATGTTTGCCAAGATTATAAGTCATTGAGTCAATGTTCTGCCTCAAAACAGCCCCCAACTACTGTGATTAGAGAACTGTCTAGGCAGCTGGGCACCCTGTAGCTCATGCCTGTAATCCTTGCTACTCTGGAGGCTGTGAGCTGAGAATTGAAGTTTGAAGCCATTCCAGACAGAAAAGTCCATGAGACTCTTCAGTTAACTACCAAAAAGCCAGAACTGGAGCAGTGGCTTAAGTGGTAAAGCACCAGACTTGAGCCTAAGGGACAGTGTACAGGTCCTGAGTTCAAGTCCCAAATGGCACCAAAAAAAGGGGGAGGAAAAGAGAGGAGGGGAGGGAGCAGAGGAGAAGAGAGGAGAGGGCTGAGATAACAGGACAAACAGATATGAAATGTGCTGTCTTGCATGAGAAGTGTGGTTTTCATGTGGAATTAAGAGGTTAGGAAGAAGGAGTTCTGAACTATACCTGTTTCATTTCATCCCAGATGTTGAGGTTGTCTAGAAACAGGGAAGGTGCTCAAATTGTGAACAAACTTCCCAGGTGTTTAGCAATCATGGGGTCAGTGTTTTAAATCAAGAGCTACCAGAGCCCTGAGCGAGTGGGAGGGTGGTATGTTAGAGGAAAATAAGGAAGACATAGATTGAAAGGCAAACAGTGAAGGACTTTGACAATGGGCCAACAATGAAGCAAAATAAATAAATAAATAAATGTCCAGCGTATCCATGCAGTGTGTCCCAGAAGGGACAGGACAGGAAAGATCATGAATTTCTTCCCATGTGGACCACTGTGCACAGTGAGCTTATTGGAGATGAAGACCCAGCAAAGGCAAAAAAGCAGGACCTAGACATACTTAACGTTTCTTTTAGACAAAGATGAAGTCTTGTTCTTTATTGATCCTCTATACTTAGATCTCATTAAATATTTACTAAGTTTATAAATGAGCAACAGAAAACTCCAGAAACAGAATTGCTATCGATTAGCAATTAGTATCTGAGTCACACTCTGGTGAGGGCCTACGGGATATATGCTTAATGTAATACTTAATGTAATGCCTAGTAAACTGTGTAATGTTCCTCCATGGTATGGGATCAGTTTTCCTAAACAATGTTATTTGTTGCCTATGTAAAATTTCACATTACCAAACTCCTTCCAGGCATTTCAAAAAAGAGAGGTTTCCTCATACAAAAGGACCAAGTGACAGCGGAAAAAGAGCCTGGCTGGCAATTGTGGCAAAGGCCTCCTTCCATAGAGGTTCAACATTTCTGACCACGGCCTTGAGCATTTCTGTGTGCAGGCCCTAGGACATTAAATCACCATGGCCTTGAGCAGTCACACATGCAGGCCTTTGGACATAATGTCATCATGGCCCAATGCCCCTGGAAGACTTGCGTGTCTGATTGGACTGATTGAACCTCAGAGGTGTGCACTGGAATGGTAATCCAATCAGAAGGCCTAAAAGATGCACAGGGAGCTCATACAGACTGCATGGAGTCTCTGATTGGGTCTGGGGACTGACATGGTCTGTAGTCTGTCCAATGATCTCGAGAGTCACATAACTCTCTCCTAGAAACACCTATCTACCCCTGCACAATGCACCCCAGGTGGTGCCCTCCACTGGGACCTCTTCTGTCTAACAGAAGCTCTCCTTATCTTTTTTTGGGGGGCGGGGGTGTCCGGTCGTGGGGCCTGAACTCTGGGCCTGGGCGCTGTCCCTCAGCTCTTCAGCTCAAGGCTAGCACTCTACCACTTGAGCCACAGCGCCACTTCCGGCTTTTTTTTCTTTTTGCTTATGTGGTGCTGGGGAATCGAACCCAGGGCCTCAGGCATGCAAGGCAAGCGCTCTACCACTAAGCCACCTTCCCAGCTCCTCTCCTTATCATTTTCTTCAGCATATCTTTGCCATCTTCTCTGTGTCTGTCCATGGACTCATTCTTCACAGCCAGAGACACAAAGGACCTCATCCAGGTGTTGCTGTTTTATGGTATCACAAGCAACACTCAGCCCCTAGCCCCCATCCTGCAGCTGAAGTATAGCAGATAAAATAACCATGATCCAGAACTCAGCTGAATTCAGTGGTCCCAGACACGGACCATGGCCAGGGAGTCATTCTACTTCTACTCCTCAGGGGTTCCACAATACAACCCCATGTCTTTTCCATTCATGACTGTGAATCTATACTAATAAGTCAGTCCCCAAAAGAAATGGTGCATTTAATATTAGGGAGGGCTGAGTAGGAAAGAGTCTTTGAGCCTTGAATGGCAAAGACAACTCAAAAGCCATTCATTAGGACCTTTGGTACATTCTCTATAGCCATGTGGGAACCTGTTCCGCCATCTTCCCAGCTGTTCTGATTTAGCAAAGCCAAGCTCTCCAGACATCTTCATTAATTCTCATTCATTTGCCTTAATTCAATAATGAGAACACAAAGCAAAGACAAGTCCCAGAGCTTCAGAAGCTTAAAGAATTAGAGAAAATGAACACACAAAGAAAGACAATACAGCATTGTGTGACAGGTCTCTGAAAAAGAGATTGGAATAAAGCCAGGCACCAGTAGCCCATGCCTGTAATCCTAGCTACTCAGGTTGCTGAGATTTGAGAATTGCAATTTGAAGCTGGCCCTGGAAAAACAAACAAAACAAAAACAAAACAAAACCCAACCAACTCTGTAAGACTCTTATCTTCAGTTAACTACCAAAAAGCCAGAAGTGGCTCAAGTGGTAGAGCATAAGCATTGGGCACAAAAGCAAAAACTCAGATCCTGAGTTCAAGCCTCAGGACAGTCACACACATAAAAAGAGATTAAAATAGGGCTACAAAAGCACATGAGCGAGCCACTAAACCAAAGATGAGGCTCAAAGAAGGCTTCTTGAGCAGACTTGATTTAAATGGTAGATAGAGTGGCTAAAAGAAGGAAGGGAGAGGTGCTGCTAGGGGAGGAAGCAATGTGTGTATAGGGCAAGAGACCACAGGGGGTGTGACAAGTCTTTAAGACATAAAGCAGTGGAGTGAGCATGAGGCAGTAGGGAGAAGGTTGTAGAGGGATGAGGGTAAGGACAGGATGACGTACATCATAAGGTTTAAGTCTTTGAGCTTTCATCTGGAATGTAGCAGGAGTCTCTGGTGGGTTTTAGCCAAAGAGTGCCATCACCTTATGTCCAGAAACTCATTGTGGCTGTAGTATGGACAGGAGACTAGAAAAGTCCAACCAGAGAAGAGAGTTGGAATAGAGGTCATCCCAGGTCAGATACTGGTATCCTTCACTAAGGCAGGAACTTGGGAAGGAAAGAAGCAGATGGAGTTATGACATTTAGGAGAGCGTATTAACAGGCCCTACGTATGTACCTGCACATGGGGAAATGAGAATGTGTTTGTGTTGAATAGATAACTTTGATTGGAAACTTAAAGACATCTTTTTTTTTTTTTTTTTTTGTCAGCCATGGGGCCTGAACTCTGGGCCTGAGTGCTGTCCCTCAGCTCTTTAGCTCAAGGTTAGCGCTCTACCACTTGAGCCACAGAACCACTTCCAGCTTTTTCTGCTCATGTAGTGCTGAGGAATCGAACCCAGGGCCTCATGCATGCAAGGCAAGCACTCTAGCACTAAGCCACCTTCCCAGCCCCTCAAAGACATCTTTTAAGAATGCTGACATTACACACCAGTAATCCTAGGTCCTCAAGAGGCTGAGATCTGAGGACTGTAGTTCAAAGCCAGCCCATGTAGGAAAGTTGGTGAGATTTTATCTCCAGTTAACCACCAAAAAGCTAGACGTAGAGCTGTGGCTCAAGCATTAACTTTGAGCAAAAGAAACTCAGGGACAGTCCCCAGGCCCTGAGTTCAAACCCCAAGACTGGCACACACACACACAAAGCAATAACAAAAGAGAATACAAACATTTCAAATGTTTTCCCATGACCCTTGTGTGAATCTACAGGAATAGAGGGGTTTTGATATCTTATTATCTAGTTTCAAAATGAGTATCTTCCATATATTGTCTGTTATTTCCTGAGCTGGTTCTACGTAAAAGGACTTTAGTGATCTTACTGAAAAATTGAGGAAAGGGAAAAACACACAAAAGAATCAGTAACAAGTGAATTCAAAGCATACAATAGTAGATGAAATGGGATGGTGGCATATCTCTTCAGATGAAATGTTAAGAAAAGGTGTCACAGGAGAGGTGATATTGACGCTGGGGTCTATAACAACAAAGCCAAGCTACAAGAACTGGGGAGGGAACATTTCAGGCAAAGGGGACAGGATACACTGGCCAAAGATGAGAAAGAAACGGGCATCTTATAGGAACTAAAATAAGGTCCAGGATAGGAATGTGGCTTAGTGGTAGAATGATTGTCTAGCATGCGTGAAGGCCTGGATTCCATTCCTCAGCACCACATAAACAGAAAACACTAGAAGTGGCACTGTGGTTCAAGTGGTAGGGTACTAGCTTTGAGCTATTACTAATGCCCAGGCCTTGAGTTCAAGCCCCAGGACTGGAGAAGAAATAAATAAAATAAATAAACAAATAAAATTAAATTAAAAATAAATAAAAATAAAATAAGACCCGTACATATGCCTGGAACTCTTATGTGTGAGGTAGATGGGAACAGGTAGAGGTTGAAGGGAACAGGGTGAAGAACTAAGCAAGGACGAGCCCAACAGGAGCTAAAACTTGGATTTTATCTGAAATGCAACAGAAAGCCAGTGGGAGGAAGAAATAGTATAACCAGATCTAGGCACTTTAAAGATTCATCTAGCTTCCATATAGTAAGGAAGTTGGAAGGGCTGATGGGTCATGTGAGAAGATGGCCGCCATGGAAAGGAAAAGGTAAAAAACTGGGAGTGTCGTGGAACTTCTACTTGTTTGAAGTAGAATTAGGACACATTTGGAGAAGGTGGGTGAAGAATACAAACACGAGCCAGGCGCCAGTGGCTCACACCTATAATCCTAGCTACTCAGGAGGCTGAGGATAGCAGTTCAAAGCCAGCCCTGGAAGGAATGTATGTAAGACTCTTCTCTTCCAGAAAACTGGAAGTGGTGCTGTGGCTCAAGTGGTAGAGTACTCTTCTTGAGCTGAAGAGCTCAGGGACAACACCCAGGCCCAGAGTTCAAGCCCCATGATTGACAAAAAAGAAAAAGAAAAAAGAAAAGAAACAGAAAAAAAGAATACAAAAGTAAAAGTCTAGGATAGTGGATTTTTAAAGGAATTAATAACTGTAATAGAGACCCTAAGCACTTGTTCCTTAGCTTTATTGCTCAAGGCCAGCACTCTACCACTTGAGTTACAGCATCACTTCTGGTTGGGTCTTATTTTATTTTGTTGGTGACAAATTGAAGATAAGTCTCACACACTTTCCTGCCCTGGCTGGCTTTGAACTGTGATCCTCAGATGTCAGCCTCCTGAGGAGCTAGGACTACAAGTGTGAGCCTTGGGTGCCCAGCTTGTAATAGAGATGAAATGGGGAAATGACCAGAGAAGCATGGGGACGCAGAAAAGTATGACAGCACAGAAGCACAGGGAGAAGAGTGCTTCATGAAATGGCTGGTAGCTCAGTCAGCAACTCCAACTGCTGCTCAGAGGCCAGGAAAGATGTAGATGGCCGAAGGTCCCTGGGGACTCCACAAAAGGCGTGTCAATGACTTGCTGGGGGCAGAACTTGAAAGGTTAAAAGTTTTTCACATGGAATCCAGTGGGATGTCTCCATGCTTCATCAGACCAATCACAGATTAGAAACATTGCCACCTTTCTAGAAAACGGAAACCAAATAACATGTAGCAGCTGAATGAGAAAAGAAGAGGAAGCTAAAACCTAGGTGTCTCAAGACAGAAATACTAAAGTAGACTGACTCCTACTACAGGACTTCATCCAGCCAGGGTCACCTTTGGCAAGGGAGCAATAACTACATAGGGTATGGTGAGGATTGAATATGCTAATTTATGAAAGGCACAGGGCTTAATGTTAGCAACTTATGAAGGGAAACAAAGTAATCTATAGCCTGGTACCAGTGGCTCATACTTGTAATCCTCGCTACTCAGGAGGCTGAGATCTGAGGATCCAAGTTCAAAGTCAGCCTGGGCAGGAAAGTTTGTAAGACTCTTACTTCCAATTAACCACCACAAAGCTGGGAATGGAGTTGTGGCTCAAATGGTAGAGTGCCAGCCTTGAGTGAAAAAGCTAAGGGACAGTTACCCAGGCCTTGAGTTCAAGCCCCAGTACCAGCACCAAAGAACAAAAAACAAACCAAACAGACCGGAACCACAAGCACCCTGCCCAGAGGGGCAAGAAGCACTTATCTATGCTTGGTTGTTTTAGTGGATGAAAATGTCTTGTGTTGGTCTAGATTGTGAAGTCCTTGAGAGAAGAGACCCAATAGTGTTGATGATGAGTATTGTGGCAGTGCCTAGCATGTTCCCTGGAAAAGAAGAAAAGTAGGCTTACCTTTAAAAACATCCACAAAGTCTCTCTTAGTTTGGGAAAGAAACTGATTGGATACTGCCCTCTTCACATCCTCCATGGATATTGGGATTGTCCTAGGCGGGGGGCAAGGTGTTGTTTTTGTCCTCAGACGTCCTTTAGGGAGGGTCCACTTAATAAAGTCCTAGCAAAGAAAGCACAGTGTTTAAGAGAATCTGCACAGGTCTACCAAATGCAACCAAGAATATAAGGACTCATGTGTCTACTTTGAGTGTATGTGGTTTGTGTGTGTGTGTGTGTGTGTGTGTGTGTGTGTACTGGGGCTTGAATTCAGGGCTTGAGTGCTGTCCCTTAGCTTTTCACTCAATGCTAGCACTGTGAAGCCACACCTCTGCTTCTGGCTTTTGACTAGTTAGTAATAAGAGCCTCATGGAATTTCCTGACTCAGCTAGTTTTGACCTGGGATCCTCAGAGTAGCCAGGATTACAGGCACGAACCACTGTAATGGGGCCACGTCACATTCTTTGAAATACTTTAAGCTCAGCCACAACATGGCCATCACACATAGTCAGGAAGTCTGTTAACAGGAGGCAAGGGGTTACCTGTATCACAGGTAGCAGTATGCATCTTTGTGACATTTCACATGGATAATAAAGTAATGCCATTGCAAATGCCCAAGAGTTGTGTTTCCAACCAGAATTCTGCCTAAGTTAAGGCGTTCTGGTCATGCATGCCCAGAAGCAGTAACAGTGGCTGCTTTCTCCAAGGGAACTCCTGAGAGAGACACAGCCTGGAGTATCCCTAGGGCAGGGATGGGTGGGTCCCATCTCCTCTTCACCACCACTTAGTGAGATTCTGATTATTCATCTTGAAACCTCCATCCACTCTTCCCATCTTCCCTCTCTAATGACCAGGCTTCCTTCCTATCTCTATAAGAAAATTGAAGGAGCTGGGAAGGTGACTCAGTGGTAGAGCGCTTGCCTTGCATGCGTGAGGCCCTGGGTTCAATTCCTCAGCACCACATAAGCAGAAAGAAAAAAGCCGGAAATGGCACTGTGGCTCAAGTGGTAGAGCACTAGCCTTGAGCTGAAGAGCTGAGGGACAGCGCCCAGGCCCAGAGTTCAGGCCCCACGACCGGACCAAAAAAAAAAAAAGAAAGAAAATTGAAGTCACCAGCAGAGAAGTTCTTCTGTCCATCCTCCTCTACTCTGTGAGGAGGGAAGAGCCAGAAGTGCTCCCCAGCAAAGACAAGCCACATCTGGATCATGTCTACTTCAGTCTGTTTCAGCACATCACTCGACAGTCCTCACTTTTCTCTTGCAACTTCTATTTCTTCTTTTCTCCTGGGTGGTTGCCATCAGTATAACACCTCAGGTTTTCCTTCTCCGGTCTCACAAAGAAATCCCTCTCTTCACCCTACTTCTTCTTCTAGTTCTCCCCTCCCACCCTCTTGACAGCATGAGGGCTTGAACTCAGAGCCCTGCACTCTTCACTTGGCTTTTGCACTCAAGAATGGCACCCTACCCCTTGAGCCACACTTCCACTTCTGGCTTTTTGCTGGTTAATTAATCCAAGCTAAGAGTCTCATGGATTTTTATGTCTGGGCTAGCTTTGAACCAGGATACTCAGATCTATTGTCTCTTGAACTCCAGGTTCTATCTCAATTCTCCTTTCTCTTATAATTTGAATACTGAAGAAATGAACTGTGAACACAATGCATCAATTGAAGAAGCTGTTTGCTGATTGCATACCTCTTATGCTATTAAACAATCCTGAATTCCGAGACTCAGGGTAGAGCCTTTAAACTATACTATAAGGGTGTTTATTGGAAGTAAGTATTATACTCTTCCTCTCTGTGTAATGGTAGCAGCTATTGTGGTTCAATGGCTAGATTCATAACATTTTAGTCTAGCACAATACTTACGGCCAAGAGTATGAAGTACAGACCACCACACTAGTTCTCATTGGCTGAGAGCACAAATTTCAGTCTCTCACACTAACTTTCATTGGCTGATGGCACATAGGCATTTAAAACATTAGATCTCATTGGCTAGGAGCACACAGGCGCTTAACATGCTAGCGCTCAATGAGTAAGGACCTTTAATAGCACTTACAGGGAAATTATATGTGTATGTGTATAATTTTGTATCAACTCCTTTACATTGATGTTAAAATTTTAAAGAAAGCATTTAAGAGTTGTGGTGAATAGATTCTGTGAGGAAGAAAGTAAAATAGAGTATGTCTGTGTTCTGTTGAATCCCAAGTCTTCACCTCCAAATCGTTTTTCTCAAGACGAACTTCAGATATCTAGCTTCACTTGCTTCCTGGAATTACCTTCCGTGGAGTTCACATTTCCTTCTATCCCCTTCCCTGCCAAATCTGGTTCTCCCCCGTGATCCAGTTCAGTAAGCTGTCAGCATGAGCCACACAAGCCAGAAATCTGAGTATCAAGCTTTTCTCTTCCTTCTTACCTATTCTCCCACCTTGCCACCTATTCAATGTATCCAGGTGGTGCACCCCGGTGGCAGCCACATTAGTGAAACCATATACCACAAGTGAACCCTGCCTTTTATGAGGAGACACGGGCAGACAGCACCAGGCCTCAAGCTCAACACAGAGTGAAGATCAGTTACTTCTGTCCTCCAAGGAAGGAAATTGGAGATGACTCTTTTTAAGCTGAGCCTTGAATAGATAGAGGAGCCTTCCATTTGTGGACAGGAGAACATCATTCTGGAGAAAAACAACCATGATAAAAGACAAGGAGGTTTATGTGTGCACAAAACCTGATATCAAACACAAGTCCTTGTGCATGCCTATTCAAAGCAGCACCAGTCAATCAATAGTCTACAGGTAGAATCAACCAGATGTCCATCAATGGATTTATGGATAAACACACTGTGATATATACATGTGGTATTCAATTATTCGGGAATAATAATTGTGAGGATATAAGTGGGCCCCCCAAAAGTATGTGAAGTGAAAGGAATCAGACACAAAAGATTACCTGAAAAGTATCCAGAATAAGAAATCCACAGGGATAGAAAGCTAATTAATGGCTACCAATGCAAAGGGACTGGGGAGTGTGAAGGGTTTTGTGGGTCTGGGACTTCCTTCCCAGATGATGACAATGTCCCACAACAAGACAGAGATAGTGACTGACAGCTGCATAAATTGTCAGTGAACTATTGCCATTAAAATGACTCATCCCACATGACTTTCTGAAATCTTACAATCCCTAGGGTCTAGAGGAAATATAATTGGAATTAACTGTGAGAGGGTAGGCAAGACATAGTCTAGAAAGGCTATGTATTTAAGTCCTTATAGACAGATGAAGGCTCTCTATAACACGTCCAGACTCATTCCTATGAGTGCAATACAGTGCTAAGTTCAGCAGGTAAGGAGCTACTAGCTTACCTTATCAGGTTGAGATTGATCTGTCTTTGTTAACACACTGTCATTAGAAGGGGATTTCCAAACGTACTCATCTTTGTACAGTGTCTGATTCAGAGGATCACTAAGTGAGTATGTGAATCCTAATCTTCGGTTACCTTTATGACTACAAAAAAAAAAAGTAGAATTTAGACTAAGGGGAAGGGATAAAAGGCCAAATCTCACAAATGGTTCAAGTCACATCAGTTTCAGTATTATGAATTTTGTGTGTGTGTATGCCTGCGCACGTGTGCAGGTCCTGGAGCTTCAACTCAGAACCTTGGTACTGTCCCTGAGCATTTTCACTCAAGGCTAGTTCTGTACCACTTAAGCTATGGCCTTACTTCTGGTCTTTTGGTCATTAATTGGAGATAAGAGTCTCATAGACTTACCTGCCCAGGCTGGCTTTGAACCTCACTCTTCAGATCTTAGCCTCCAGAGTAGCTAGGATTACAGGTGTGAGCCACCAGTGCCCAGCCCCTATTATCTATTTTAAAGATTGGCTAAATTAAGACTTAGTACCAGATCAAATTGAACTTTCAGATTTCTTTGGTAAGAAACAATCGCATAATTTAGGATGATTCCTTATAAGATCCCAGAAAATATATAAGGAGATGAAATTTGTGAAGAGCAAGATGCTGTCTTGTACGGAGTACTTCTGTGCAACCCAATAGTTAGTTGGAAAAAAGTCTCTCTATGTACATGAATCCCAGTGGATGAAAGGAAGAAACATAGAAATCAAGATACTTCTTTTAGGTTTGCAAGTCCTCATGAAATGATATCTCTAGGAAATGACCACCAGGGTCAGAGCTCAAAAAGAGAGTGGGTGCCAGATACTTGATGCTTCTGGATGGATGAACAAAATACTACCTACTAAATATTTTTGCCATGATATGGAACTGGAATCAGATGGGTTCTCTAGATTATTGAATTACAGGAAAGTCATGAAAGGATGAATATTTTAAATGGCATCCTAGGAATTAATAGAAAAACCCAGACCAATGGTTCTATTTTGTCAGTAAAAAAAAATTATCGGAAAAAAATTAGCAGAATATGTAGATTAAATGAAAGAAGAGACATAAGAAGAAAATATCATGTGTGGGTTCTGTTTGAGTTCAATTTCAAACCACTTTTTTTTTTTGTCAGTCGTGGGGTTTGAATTCTGGGCCTGGGCACTGTCCCTTAGCTCTTCAGCTCAAGACTAGTGCTCTACCACTTGAGCCACAGTGCCACTTCTGGTTTTCTGGTGGTTTATTGGAGATAAAAGTTTCACGGACTTTCCTGCCCAGGCTGGCTTTGAACCACAATCTTCAGATCTCAGCCTCCTGAGTAGCTAGGATTGCAGGGGAGTGCCACCAGTGCCCAGCTCAAACCACTTTTTAAAAAATCGTGAGACAGCTGGGTGCCAGTGGTTCATGGCTACAATTTTAGCTACTCAGGAGGAGTGTATTGTTCAAAGCCAGCTCAGGAAAGAAGGTTTAAGAGACTCATCTCCAATTGACCAACTAAAAAGCCAGAAGTGGAGATGTGTCTCAAATAATAGTTAGTCTTGAGCAAAAGGCTCAGGAACAGCACCCAGTTCAAGCCTCAGGACTAGCACACACACACACACACACACACACACACACACACACACACACACACACACACACACACACACACACACACACACCACCCAAGTTATGAGACATTGGGCAAATATGATTGCTGACTTCAATATTGAAGAATTTAAATTTTTTATTATCTTTAAGTAGTTGTATAAAGGAGGTACCATATAAGAAAGCAGTTTATGAATACAGTGTATCTTGATCAATGTCACCCCTTCAACATTCTCATCTCTTTCAACCCACTCCTTCCTTTACTTTTCTTAACTGTGTGAGACTCCAAATTTAAAAAGTAAAATGGGCTAGGAATGTAGCCTAAGTGGTATAGCACTTCCCTAGTAAGTGTAAGACCTTAGGTTTGAACCCAGTGTTGGCAACACAAACAAGAAGAATAAAGGAAGGAAAGGGAGAAGAGAAGAGGGGAAAGAAGAGGTCCAGTAGGAAGGATAGGTGGAGGGAAAAGCTGAAGTTTACCTGTGTGCTATTTATAGATGAGTGGTAGCTGGAGACTCATGGTACATCTTTTGTGCATGTTTAAAGTAGTTTAGATTGCTGGGCACCAGTGGTTCATAACTGTCATCTTAGCTACTCAGGAGGCTGAGGTCTGAGATTCAAAGTTGAAGGCAGCCTGGATAAGAAACTCTGTGACACCCTTGTCTCCAATTAACCACCAAAAAGCAGAAGTAGAGCTATGGGTCAACCTGTGGCTCACTTAGCCTTGAGCAAAAATCCTAAGGTGCAGGGCCCATTACCTGAGTTCAAACCACACTAATACTATAGAAAAATTCATATTGACTTCAGGTAATATGCAAGAGAAACAAACATCTGGGAAGTTAGACTCATCTGAATGGAACTGTTTTATTTATTTCTCTATCTACACATTCCTGGATCATATCTTATCTGAGATCAAATTTGCATATTTATGCAAATTTTATTTTTTAATAACAATTTTTCAAATTATCTTTAAGTAGTTGTACAGAAGGATTCCAATTCACCATATCAAATTTATGAGTACAATGCATCTTGATCAATGTCACCCCTTCCATCATTCTCCCCCATCTCTCCCAAGCCCCACCCATCCTCTCGGGCTACCTGGTTCCATTTTCATCCATGTCCATTGTCCCTCACCTCTCCATTCATCTATCTCATGCCCTTGACCTCCTCACCACCCTGATAACATGTAGTTCCAGCTTCCTGGTATTCATTGTGTTGAACTGAAAATTACCTGTTCAAAGGAGTTGCAATATTGCAATTCTCCCATGAGCATACTAGATATTTGTCAATGTGTGTCCATAGGCATATCATCCTGTTTATAAACAGGGTTTATAAAAATGTTTTATTCAGCTATGTTCATGATTTAGATCCTTCCTTTGTCAACTTTCCTTCCCCAGTTCCAGGGTATATATACAGCAACAGGAGAGAAAGGATCCCAAATGGGAAACCTGGTAACAAGAATCCCCAGGGCCCCTGCCTGCCACTCCCACTCCCCACACTGGCGCAGACTTCGCATCTTAGCATTGGTGTCCAGAGTGGAGGATCGTTCTCTCCCCAGGCAGTCTTCTTCTTTTAAATAAGTTTCTTATTGTGACAACACCTTACAGAGGGGTTACAATTACATGAGCAAGGTAATGAGTACATTTCTTATCAAGCACTGTTGCCTCCTCCTTTGTTTTTCCCCTCCCATCCCTGCCCTCCTATCTCTACAACTCCGCCAACCCCCTCTCCCTGTCAATGTTGTAAAGTTCATTTTTCAACAAAGCATCTTGTTCCTTTCATTGTTGCAACGGGTCCACCTGCATCCCTATTTAAATGTTTTTTTCCCTTCCCCTCCACAAATTATTCCAGCATTAAATACAGTGAAAACAGGGGTTATACTGTGGGGAAGGGACATACAAAACAACAAAACAATCACCTTATAAATATGTTAGAAACAATAGCAAGAAAGAAAAACCATTTGAGTCTTTATCTTGGGGTTCATTTCGTCTAACATCATCTTATCTGACCTTTACTGCTCATCTCAGACATATAAAAGTCATTGCAAATAAGATAAACCATGGGACCTATGTTTCTTTGGGCCTGGCTTACTTCACTTAATATAATTTTTTCCAAGCCTTTCCATTTCCTAACAAATGGGGCAATGTCATTCTTTCTGATGGAGGCATAGAGTTCCATTGTGTATATATACCACATTTTCTTGATCCATTCATCTATGAGGGGCATCTGGGTTGGTTTCATATCTTGGCCATGGTAAATAATGCTGCAATAAACATAGTTGTGCTGGTAGCTTTATTATGGTATTGATTGTAATCATTTGGGTAAATGCCCAGAAGTGGGATTGCTGGGTAACAGGGGACCTCTATGTAGAGTCTTTTGAGGAACCTCCATACTGCTTTCCAAAGTGGTTGAACAAGTTTACATTCCCACCAACAATGCAGTAGGGTTCCCTCTGGCCACATCCCCTCTAGCATCTGTTGTTATTAGAGTTCTTGATTATAGCCATTCTAACTGAGTGAGGTGGTATCTCAGTGTTGTTTTGATTTGCATTTCTTTTATGGCTAGAGAGGTTGAGCATTTTTTCATATGTCTACTGGCCATCCTTCTTTCCTCTTCAGAGAAGTTTCTCTTTAAGTCTTTAGCTCACTTATTTATTGGGCTGTTGTTTCTTTGAGGATTTGTTGTTGGAGGTTTTAATTTTTTGAGTTCTAGGTATATTTTCGGTATGAGATCCTTATCCGTTGTATGGCAAGTGAAGATCTTCTCCCAATCCATAGGCTTTCTATTGATCTTGCTAGCTAAGTCCTTTGCCATGCAGAAACTCTGCAATTTCATGCAATCCCATTTGTCCAACCTTTCTTTGATTTGTTGTGTTTTTGGGTCTCTATTAAGAAAACTTTGGCCCATGCCAAGGAGACAAAGGGTTTCTCCTATTCCATCCTGTAATGTTTTCAGAGTGTCTGCTTTGACTCTGAGGTCTCTGATCCATTTGGAGTTGATTCTGGTGCAGGGTGATATATAAGGATCTAGCTTTAGTTTTCTACAAGTGATAAACCAATTTTGCCAGCACCATTTACTGAAGAGGCTATCTTTCTTCCACTCTATTTTTTCTTGGGGGGGTCCATTCATGGGGCCTAAACTCTGGGCCTGGGCACTGTCCCTCAGCTCTTTAGCTCAAGACTAGCACTCTACCACTTGAGCCACAGTGCCACTTCCGGCTTTTTTTTTTTTTTTTTTTGCTTATGTGGTGCTGAGGAATCGAACCTAGGGCCTCATGCATGCAAGGCAAGCACTCTACCACTGAGCCACCTTCCCAGCCCTTCCACTCTATTTTTTTAGCTACCTTATTGAAAATTAGGTGGCTATAGGTCTGTGGGTTCATTTCTGGGTTTGCAATTCTATTTCATTGGTCCTGAGGTCTGTTCTTGTGCCAGTACCAAGCTGTTTTGTAGTATGGCTTTGTAGTAAAGTTTGAAATTTGGTATTGATATTCCTCCAGCACTGTTCTTTCTGTTAAGTACCATTTTTG